GGGAATGTCTGTGCCTCGCTATTGACAAGTTTATCTTGGAGTCTGACTAGCACTTTTCAACTCGTGATATAAGCCAGGGCGGTGGTGTCAGATGTAGTCATCGGGCAGAGGGGACAAACTGTTGATACACTGGAGTCAGAAGGGCAGCTTGAAAAAAGTTTTCTTTTGCTTGATTAGCAGATACAAAAACTTTTCCCCACATTTCTAACTCTGTCTTAGCGAAGGGCAGGATATTATTTCTCATAATTTCCAAAAATGAACTAAAAGGCCACTGATTATCAGTGGAAAGCCATATTTTTATAAACTCTTTTACCTTTGCTAATATTATTTATATTTTTGTCTTGGAACAGCAACACATTTTGGAACGTGAGGTTACTAGAAACTGCTAGCACTGGAATGGCAGCCTCCTCTGTCCTTCGCATGTTCATATAACTGCAGGCTTGATCTTGCCCTCTTGCTGGGGTACAGCAATGTTCCCATGGGAAGTGTTTGGAGCTCCCAGCAAGAGTGGCATTTGTGAGTGTCACTCTGCTCAGGTGAGACTTTGGAGAGACCTACCCCTTGTCTTCAAATGAATATGAAATGCAAGTCCAAGCTGGTAAATACTAGGTTTTATTATTTGTTCTTTAATATGTAGGAAATGAGATGTGCATCATCCTGGGATGATCTGTTGGGGTGTGTAGGTTTTTTTTTAATGTATTTATTTCACCTGGATTAAAGAGTCCCCAGAATGCACATGTTACAAATTTGGGATGAGGTGACTTCCATCAAAACATGCATTTGGCAAGTGCAGCATCTTGCAGACAGTTGTAGCTGGTTATGAGTACTCCAGTGGCTGTCTTGTATCCCTGTTTGGCCGTCTGTGGGCTTCTGGGGAGAGGCAGGCGTTTTTCCTGGAGAAACTTTCCTCAAGGTCTGTAAGGAGCAAATATCCCCAGCTGCCCTTATTTATTGGTGTTCCCTTTGTGTTTCCATAGACAGGGAAGACAAATGGCCTCTGCCCTTGCCTCCTGTTTTTGCATAGGTCCTATTCTTTTGATGTCTCTCTTCCTTTTCACCTTTTTTTTTTTTCTCCCTGTCCTTTACTAAAGCAAACATTTTTTCGGTGAAGTCAGTCGTGTCTGCCAGGAACTCTTGCTTAGACAGCAAATCCTAATAGGTATGCAAGTTTCTGCCTTCTGCAAAATGTGCTCTACACCCTTTTGTTTGTCAGTGTAGCTTTCCTTGCTCCTGTTCTGGGATGCCTTCTGTCTTCTCCTCCCTGCTTTCTCCATGTCTGCTCACTTGCCAAAAGGATAAATACTGCTATTAGGGCTCCACTGACTTGGCTGGCTGAGCTGAACACTAAGTGCAGAAAAGCCAAGGTTAGTAAACGGGCCATTTCTTAAGCTTACAGCCCTGTCATATTGAGCAGCAGGTGGAAAGCTGTTGGCTTTCAAGGAGTTATTGTGCTTCTAGTGCTGTGGTCATGTGTGTAGATGGGGGACAGTCCAGTGCAACATGCCCAGCTCATACAGCCTCTGCTGTAGCTCACCTCGCTGGTCTGAAACCAGCCCCTACTGTGGTGAAAGTAAACTTCCTCTTTTTTTTTTTTTTCCTTCAATGAAAAGGAAGTATTTTCCTAATAGTTTGCAAGCCAGCAAGTGTGAGTTTGGTTTTGTTTTTTTTTAAAAAAAGGAAAAAGTAATTGGTCAGGTGCAATGTTGACTAACTTTTCAAAAAGCCACATAGCTGAAACTTCTCTGATCCAGATAGTTGAAAAGCATGGGTGCTTCTTCTGTGAATTTAGCAAATACTTTCTGAACTGTCATCACACCCAGCACCTATTTGTAGCACGTCACTGAAATAAAAATATTAGGGGACAAATCTTAGCAAATGTAGCACAATGCTAGGATACTAGAAGGTCCTTTTGAAAGCTGTCTGCATTCTTGTCACATTTTTAGTCCTGAAGAACAATTGTTCTTGC